AGGGGCACGACACTGAGGGTTGCGATCTGTTGCCGGTCACGAAAAAGACAAAAAAAGGAAAAAAAAATAAAAAATAAAATAAAATAAAAAATTCTTAAGATATTTATTTATTTATCTTTTCAAAGTATCTCTTGATACACATTTATTCTAATCTTATAATTTTTTATATACCATATTTTTTCTCTATGCTGAATAACTCTTCCTTAATTTATACTTCCTCAATCATAGTTTTTCTTCATTCTTTTGTCACTTGCTGTCATGGAAAGTCTCAGCCTAGACTCTGAATTAGATAATCCTTTATTAAGATAAAATGTGAAGATTAGTTTCTATATTTTTATATTGAATCCTGCTTCTGTCATAGTACCTCTAAAGTGTTCTTTAACCTTGGGCATAATGTTCATCTGTTTATTTCTTAGGTTTAGGTTTGGCTATGAGAATATTAACAGTACCTTAAACAAGGTAGATACTTATTTATCTTTCGTGTAAAGCATGTGTAAGTAGTCTGGATCTGCTATAGTTGCCAGTATTATTAAGAACCCAAGTTCTTTCTAAGATTTTTTGGCCATTCTCACCACAAGATTTCTAACTTGGTCCAGGATGACTGTTCTATTCCAGAATCATGTCTGCATTCCAGCCAGCAGGAAGAAGAGCATGCCCCCTCACCTTCAGAACCCTTCCCAGAAGTTGTATACACCAGTGCTGCTTATTTCCAACTTAGTCATGTAGCAGCCTCTAAAATTTTAAGTGGGACAAATGTAACCTTTATTTCAGGAAGCCAGGCCAAAATGTCAAGGGTTTTTTGGTTGTAGAAGAAAAGGAAACCAGACACTAGAAGGCAACCCACAGTTTCTACAACAACCATTCTGCATCTTCTATTGCTTTAAACTATAGCTCGTTTATTTTCATCACATTTGTGAGTTTTAGAGCAGCTCATTCTCCAGGGAATTTTATTTTGTAGGGAATCCCCTTCTTAGAATAAAGTATTCTCCACAAGAATAGACAAAACATATGAAAGCAGAGCTGTTATGGTTGATAGGGCCCTTTTCTCTACCTCCTACTGTCTTCTCTCCTCTCTCTCCACCTCACCCACCTCATGTGCCTAAGGACTGTTTAAAAAACAAATCCAAAATGCAGCATTTTCCACATTCATTTTAATTTTAATTTAATCTTCTCATTTTAATTTTCAAAATGGCAAATTACTACTTGTAATAATGAATCTAAGATTGACAAAAATAAGGCTTTATTTGTGAATTCTTAATTCTGAATTTCTTTTTTCAGCAGCTGGCCAGTGTGGGGATCCAAACCCTTGATCTTGGTGTTATCAGCATCACAGTCTCCCAAGTGAGATAACTGGTTAGCCCATTAATTCTGAATTTTATTTCAGAATCTAACTTATCCTTTTCTTTTCTTTAATTATAGCCTATTCAGTATAGAGTAAAAGCTAGAAAATGTTTTATCCTAAAAGAATATTGAAATGTATGAATCTATAAAAAATTCAAAATAACCGTTTCTTGAGTTAATTACAGATGAGCGTGTGTGTGTACTTTTGGCATTACAGGGATCCAAAAATTGCAGCTATTATCTGTGCTGAACTCAGCGTGATGCTGGCGTTCTATGCCTGAATAGAATTTACTGTGAATTTTTTGTTGGAATCAAAAGCTTCCAGTGTATGTGTATCTCTAAGGCATTGGATCAGCTCTGTAAGAGATACTTAACCAAATATTACTCAATTATGTAATATTTTTAATTTTTCTAGCTAGGACTATTTTTGTTCTCTTTTCTTATGAACGCGAAGTGCTACTGTCTTTCCCTCTACTCTGACCCCACTGGTTCCTGTTTATCTTGTGGCTAACTGGATCAGAAACAAAAGAATAGGATGCAGAAAATTAGTTTGCTTATAAAATGAATCACTAGTGCCTTTAGAGTCAACTACTCATCTTAACTTACATCAGATTAGTCTAGTGAATGGCTTAAATTAGTTTTTAACCTCAATTTGTAGATTTTTTCCTGCCAAAGATAGTTTTCTGTTAGGGATGCCTTACTCTCTTTCTTTTTTCTTTGAACATTTAAGCTTAAAGACTTTGAGCAAAATAGTCTGCCTTAGGAATGCCACATCAGGGTTACCAATTCTTAAAATAGTAAAACCATAAATTTTGTAAGCTCTTAGGATAATTTGCATTAGTAACAACTAATATAAAGATTATATATATAGAAGGCTCTGTGTATTGAACTGAATTTACTTTGATGTACTTAAAAAAAAAAAACAACCTTGTATCTTGTTTAACATTCCTGTCATATGCTCAGAAAAGCAGTGTAGAATATAGGAGAAAATTTTTAAGTGGTTTCGCTTTCTTACTCATTTTTAGAGTCAAACATTTTAATTTTCTACTGTCTGACGTATTAGGTTTTCTAGCAGTTTTACCTGAACCCAAAGAGAACAGATAGAAACTTCTGAACACTTGAAAAATTATGCATTCATAATGAGGATGATATAGGTAAATCCTGCATTTTAGTGTTTCTTCCTTTACATAGTTGACAGGTTAGTGACAGGTAACATCTTTTTTTTTTAATGTAGTTTTTTTTTTCTTTTTCTTTTTTTTTTTTTCCTTTTTGTCTTTTTTTGTGACCGGCAACAGATCGCAACCCTCAGTGTCGCGCCCGTACCAGACCGGGACCGGCAACGGGATCGCAACCCTCGGTGTTGCGCCCGCACCTCGCTCAGCCAGTGAGCGGCCGGTCTGTATGTGGGATCCGAACCCTTGGCGGAAGCGCCGCCACGCTTCCAAGCGGCGCACTGTAGCAGTGCCCCACCGGGCCGGCCCTTTATTTTTCATTTTTGCCTTTGGCCTTACATTATCCATTCAAGATAGTGTTTCCACAGTTACTTTCAGTTTCTAATCCCCTTCAATGTGGTTATCTTATTCATTTGTAATACAGTTAGATTCAAGTGTTGTTTTATTCCATTTTGGGTACCCTCCCCCCATCCTAGTTGCTTTTACTTACTTAGTTTGGGGGTAGGTATATGGATGGTATCTGAAACATTACTATTTTTGTATGAGAGCTATACAAAAATATTCTCAGAGAAAAGTCACTCTGTCCTCACCCCTGCTACCCCATTCCTGTCCGCTACTTTTCCCACCAGTTCCATGTAGATAACCAATCTCTTTAGTTTCTGATTTTAATCCTTTCTGCATTTTTTTCTTTTTTTAAAATTGATACATTATAATTGTACATATTGGGCCGGCCCGGTGGCGCACTGCTACAGTGCGCCGCTTGGGAGCGTGGCGGCGCTCCCGCCGAGGGTTCAGATCCCACATACAGATCAGTTCCCGCTCACTGGCTGAGCGAAGTGCGGGTGCAGCACTGAGGGTTGCGATCCCGTTGCCGGTCCCGGTCCGGTACGGGCGCGACACTGAGGGTTGCGATCCGTTGCCGGACACGAAAAAAAGACAAAAAAAAGGAAAAAAGTAAAATAAAAAATAATAATAATAATAATAATTGTACATATTTATGGAGTGTATGTGATACTTCCATACATGTATGCAATGCACAATGATCAAATCAGGGTCATTGGCATATCCATCACCTCAAACATTTATCATTTCTTACGTTGGGAATATTCAAAATTCTCTCTTCTAGCTATTTTGAAATGTAGAATAAATTATTGTTAACTGTAGTCACCCTACTGTGCTATATATTTGTTCCTTCTATCTAACCGTAATTTTGTACCTGTTAACCAGCCTCTTCCTATCACCCCATTCCCCCTGCCATTCCCAGCCTCTGGTAACCACTGTTTTATTGTCTACTTCTATGAGATCGACTTTTTTAGATCTCACATATGAATGAGAACATGCAGTATTTGTCTTTCTGTGCCTGGCTTATTTCACTTAACGTAACATCCTCCAGGCTCATCCATGTTGCCACAAAAGACAGGGTTTGATTCTTTTTTTATGGCTGAATAATATTCCATTCTGTATATATACCACATATTCTTTATCCATTCTTCTGTTGATGGACACTTAGGTTGACTCCGTCTCTTGGCTATTGTGAATAAACATGGGAGTACAGTTATCTCTTTGACATACTGATTTCCTTTGGATATATACCAATTAGTGAGATTGCTGGATCATATGGTAGGTCTGTTCTTAGTTTTTCAAGAAACCTCCATAGTGTTTTCCTTAATGGCTATACTAATTTATATTCCCACCAGTAGTGTATAAGAGTTCCCATTTCTCTGCATCCTTGCTAGTATTTGTTATTTTTTGTCTTTTTGTAATAGCCATTTTAACTGGGGTGAGATAATATGTCATTGTGGTTTTGATTTGTATTGCCCAGATGATAAGTTATGTTGAGCATTTTTTCATATACTTCCTGGCCATTTGTGTCTTCTTTTGAGAAATATCTATTCAGATCTTTTGCCTATTTATTAAACCAGAGTATTTGGCTTTCTGCGGTTGAGTTATTTGAGTTCTTTATATATTCTGGGTATTAATCCCTGTGGATGGACAGTTTGCACAGATAACATCTTTTAAAAAAAAAATATATATATATATATGTATTTTTTTGGCAGCTGACCGTTATAGCAATTGAACCCTGGACCTTAGTGTTATCAGCATAATGCTCTAACCAACTGAGCTAACCCATTAGTCCCTAAAAATTTTTTAAAGTAGTTTTTCTTTTTTTCTTTTTGTTTTTCTTTGGCGGCTGGCAGGTACAGTGATTCAAACCCATGACCTTGGTGTTATAAGGCTGCGCTCTAACCAACTGTGCTAACCTGCCAGCCCTAAAGTACTTTTTCAAGGGGAATTTTGCTTTAATCTATATTCTTTTGCCACAGCAGTAAACTAGTGTCATAGAACAGAAACTTTATGTAATTTAACTTATCAATAGCCTAGGTGATTTTTAATCTTGGTCTGAAAGATCGTGTTCATGAAAAGACATAAAAATTTGAGAAACTATTTACTTGGTTTTTTGCATTAATATGTCATCTTAAATCTTAGGTCTATCACTTGGCAAGTGTACGCTTACGTGATCTATGTTTAAAACTGGATGTTTCGAATGAGTTACGAAGGAAGATATGGACATGTTTTGAATTTACTTTAGTCTACTGCCCTGATCTAATGAAAGACAGGCATTTGGATCAGCTCCTCCTTTGTGCCTTTTACATCATGGCAAAGGTAATGTATAAGTTAGGAGAAGGTCTTTGCTGTAGTTGGCTATATTTGAAGTATTAATCTGTTGAACTTGATCTTTAGTTTGCCTTTAGTGCTGCAAGTCAATTCTGCCTCCATTATTGATTAAGTAGTAAGTTCAAGCTACAACATCAATTCTCTGGTCTTTCCATTTAGTTTCATAATAATCAGCTTGCTCACTTCATAAAAATACATTGGTTTGTAAAAGAGTGGGAGAAGGTCTTAGGGACTATTTGTAGTAAAGTGGCTTTGCACACTTTTAATGTGAACAAGACCATTTTCACCCCCACCCTTCACACCTCTGATCTGGTACTTTAAAGTAAAATGATCATTATACTGTAGGTGAGTAATTGAGGCCCATAGCTAAAAGTAACTTGGCCAAAGTCACACAATAAGTGGCAACCTAAGATCTCCTGATTCATAATGTGGTGTAGAATAGCTTCTGTACTGTAATGCTTTCCAGTGATTTATTGTGCTGCCTCAGAAGAGCATTTTACTTTCTAGTTGCCACAGCATGTTTGAAGTCATAAAATAGCATATCTTGCTTATTTTTTTAAATTCTGATATAACTGAAATGATCATTTATAACTTTTGTCTTTTTTTGGTAGCTGGCCAGTACAGGGATCGAACCCTGGACCTTGGTGTTATTGGCACCATGTTTTAACCAACTGAGCTAACTGACCAGCCCTATGACTTTTGTCTTGACCACATTGGCCACACTAGCAGTCCTAGCAGATATATACAGTTAAGACCTGATTTTTAAGCTTTTTGAGGCAAAGGACATGTTTTCAAATTCCTTTGTGATATTCCCCCTTTTGCAATGCCTCTTTAAAATCTCTATACAAAATTAGTCTTACTAAATGATACGAACATTTGTGTTTTCCAGAAAACTGTCAGAGTTCAGCTTTGCTATTTCTAGCTCATCATTATAGGGAACAGGTTTAGTGCTATGGACAGTGAAGCAGAGGAAAGGAGTAATTTAAGTGAACTTTGTAACAGTTAAACCAGAAGGGATTCCTTTTTGGTTTGCTAATCCATTTTCTTCCTTTTGGCCACCACTGTGACTTCTAAATATTAGAAGCCCTGCAGTCTGTCCTGAAATGTTAAAAACCTAGCCCTATAATAACCACTCAGTTTTACTGTCAGTCACCACAAGACATTTTCTATCCTTTAGTATGTGGTTAATTTACTTTTAAATAAGTACTTGAAACTAATAAAACTGAACACTGCAAGGGATTTAACAGATCTAAGTTTTCATATATCATTATTTTTTAAAGAAATATATTTTCTGTAGAGTTATACCATAGCAATTTCAGTGCTTTTTGATTAATGAAACTATTAACTAAATCCCCACAGGCCACAAAGTCTGAACTTTAAAGGTAGTAAAAATCATAAATGTTAGTAGTTTTTAGTCATGAGCTGGCCTGGGGTTAATGGTTTTCTGCAAGGCTGCTCTCAGTGCCAGGCTATAATTGAAGTTTTTGTTCAGAGCCATATTTCTTTCAAAAGCAGTTGATAAATGCAGTTTTTATTTTCCTTAGGTAACAAAAGAAGAAAGAACTTTTCAAGAAATAATGAAAAGTTATAGGAATCAGCCCCAAGCTAATAGTCACGTGAGTTACATTATTTTTCCTACTCTTCAAAAATAAATTTGTACTATATCTCTGCTGACAAGTCATATAAAAGGTAAACTTCTTTTATAATTTTATTATACTTTAGATTTTCTGGTTCAATGGATGGATACCATTAAACTCAAGAGACAATTTCATTAAAGGACAGTTTCAATAGAAGCCAGGAAATCTGGCTGTTTCTGACTCATCCATACACTTACATATACTTCTCACAGATTCTACCATTCCATTTGTTTATTTGTTGAGTGGAGACATTTTTCACTAGAAAATCTAATGAAAGATATGTGTAATAATAATAATATTTAATTGTATGAGGCTTGATTCTCTGATGATGTTTAAATCCAGTGAAATTTGAGCTTTATTAACTCAAGCTTTTTTTTTTTTATCTGCTAAGAATCTTAATGTTTGCATCTTTGAATAGATGTTAAGCATTTCTAATAATGTTGTTATAATAGCTGTGGCGAGAATCCTGTAAAACCTTTTAGTCATGGAAATGTAAAATGTTAGCATAGTGGACTGGCATATAGTAAGCATTTAGTGAATGTTAGCTTCATGCTGTTATTATTGTAGCTGAAGAACACGGATGGGTTACCTTAAGAGTTTGGCCATTCAAGAACCCAGCTACTCTCCTCTTTGGGAGCAAAATGGCCTCTTCTGTGACCCTGGAGATCACAGAATGAGGTAGCTCAGATCATAGCCAGAGAGAAAGAGGTGAAATCCCGGTACTAATAGTCATATTTCCATCTAAAAGAACCCCACAAATAGTTTCACTTCTTTACTTAACCCCCCAAATACAATATAGAAACATTTGAAGAACCAAGTGTTTGTCATATCTTGTGACAAGCTTGGAGTTTCTGGGCCTCTTCAGGAACAGAGGCTTCAGAGGTCCAACTTGTCCCTAAAGTTCATTAAGGTGAGGTTAGTATGGGTCAAAAATGGGCCATGCCACAGCTTCCTAAATATCCTATCAATACCAGTAACCTGTAGGATATGGGGGAATGCATCACACCTTCCCAGCTATCTTGAAGGTAGGAAAGAGTTTAGGGACAGAGAGGGGAAAAAGTTTTCATGTGGCCATCTGAAAGGAGATGGGAATGCAGTGGGAGCAGGAAAACAAGCCCCACTGAAATCAAGTGATTTTTGTGAAAGGAATTAAAGGGAAAGAGGAACAAGTTCAGATTTTTGAGGGTGCTTTTATTAGGCAAGACATACCCATCAATCTTTAGTTGCTACATACTTAATTTTTCTTCAGTTTCATAAATTCAGATGGCACATTTTAGGTGGTAGGCTCTGCTTCAGTTATCCCCTCTTCTACAATTTTTGCTGTAATCTATACTTACCAGAGTTGATAACATCTTAACCTTGATTATCACCCATACAAGCAAATATTTTTTAATTGGCTTGATATTTTGCTCTTATTTTAATTTTGCTTATCCTTGCCTCTTTGTGACTTAGCAGTCCTTTTTTTCCCATCTGGCCTGTAGGTATATAGAAGTGTTCTGTTGAAAAGTATTCCAAGGGAAGTTGTAACATACAATAAAAACATAAATGGTGATTTTGAAATGAGAGATTGTGGTAAGTTATCCAAATTATGATTCTTTTTTTTTTTTTTCTTTTGGTGGCTGGCTGGCATGGAGAATGTTATCCAATTTAACATGCCATATGTAATACATTTTTTTATTACATTTTACATAATACAATGGGTGTCAGGCAACATGGAGTCATGATGTAGGTGGGGTGGGCAATGCACACATGTTTTGAAAAGAAATAAGTTTGAGATAAGGACGGGGCAGGTGCCTCCCTCCACAGAGATGGGGTATTGAAACCATTCATTTGTCCCCTGTGAATTGTTTTGGAAGTTTTCCAGGCTACTTGTACATATTAATAGTATACATAAAAGACAATAAAATTCAAAAATCTGTATGACAGGGATTGCAAAGTAGTTGTCAGTGATCTTCCTGAGGAAACAAAAAAGGAAATGTCCTGTTCAGTAATAAGTACATAAGTGATTCTGCCACCACAGTCAAGATTGCACACTGTTGCCACCATCATGCTAAGACTTCAGGTGCTAGTAATCTAAAAAGACAGGAAAATTGAATGGTTAGTATTCATATGCCTCTTCTGCTCATCTCCTTTTCCTTGTCTCATAAGTGTATATATGTGTACGTGTATATATGTGCTGTGATTTATTTAATCCCACAATGTGGGACATTTAAGTTGTTTCCAGTTATATGTATGAGGATCCAAACCCTTCACCTTGGTGTTATAACACTGTGCTTTAACCAACTGAGCTAACCCACTGGCCCCAGTTATGTACAACTTTGTGATGAATATCATTGTTGCTTAATCTTTGATATATATCCTTAGGATAAATTCTTAGAGAAACTTGTCTGGGGCAAAGACAGTTTTCTTAATTACAAAAATATCCATGATCATTATGGTGACTGGTAACTAAATGTTTAAGATCTCACCAAAAAGATCCTTTAATAATGTCCTAGAATCTGACCCTATTTAAGAACACATAAGCCAAACTCAATTCTTTGTATATCAAGTATATTATTCCTCAGAATTTTCAAGGCAATGAGAAGTATATAACAGTAAACCTGACAAAATACAAAAAAGCTCATTTCTGTATTTGTTATACGTGTTGCTTACTTATCCATGGTGGTTTTTCTGTCCATTCAAAACCAGGCATCAAAGGTTAACTGGGAGGGCCGGCCTGTGGCTCACTCGGGAGAGTGCAGTGCTGATAACACCAAAGCCATGGGTTCAGATCCTATATAGGGATGGCCGGTTAGCTCACTGGTTGAGCGTGGTGCTGACAACACCAAGCCAAGGTGAAGATCCCCTTACCGGTTTTTTTTTTTTTTTTTTTTTCCAAAAAGGTTAACTAGGAAAATGTGGATCCCTTCCCTATTTTTTGTTTTCTCTATGAGAAACTAACTGCTAGCAAGTAACTGAGGTGCAGGGAACAGTGAAGTTCATGAGTAGAAGTAAGCAAAAGGTAATAAATCATGGTTTCTCTGATAAATATTAGTATCTCAAAGAAGTTTGAGGTGACTGAAGGTTACCTCCTTCCTCTACAACCTAAGATTTCAGATCAAATTATGTTATACATACATTTATTAACTACATATTGATTAGCAGGCAAGCAAAAAACCATTCTTATAGATCCTGTACAGTGGTGATGGCACAGGGCAGGGAGAGTATCCAGTGATAATGGAATCAAATTCTGGCACCCAAAAAGAAAGAAAGTTATGGAGGAGGATACAGTTAGGCAAGTCTATATTCTGATAAGACATGTTTCAGGTCCTGGAGCTATGGCTGGATGCTATGAGCTAGACTTAGACACACCAAAGAATACTGTCTGGGGAAAAACAGTTCTAGTTCTATAAACAAATTTAGAATTAGGTATAAAATAATTAATAGTTAAAAAGCACACACACGGGGCCGGCCTGGTGGCGCACTGGATAAGTGCGCCGCTTGGGAAGCGCGGCGGCGCTCCCTCCCGAGGGTTCGGATCCCACATACAGACCAGTTCCCGCTCACTGGCTGAGTGAGGCGCGGGAGCAACACCGAGGGTTGCAATCCCGTTGCCGGTCCTTGGTCCGGTATGGGGGCAACACTGAGGGTTGTGATCCGTTGCCAGACACGGAAAAAGACAAAAAGACAAAAAAAAAAAACACACACACACAGTTTATGTATCCTGTGTAGTAAGCTGAAAGCTCCAACTGTGTGTCCAAACACCACCTCACATAAAACATTAGCTTGGGACAGATGCCAAGATTCCAGATGCAGGATTCTGTTTACCTTAAGCAAACAATGTGCATCAGAATTCAGGGCTGGGCACAGGACTTCTCCGAGTTTTTAACCTTAGGACATCTTCCATAAGTAAAGCCCACAGACCTCACTGGACCTCTCATCCCTTTCATGCTATCACAGGTAGTGTCTCAAATATTTTAACCAATCTGCTTATCTTAAATATGTTTTAGTTTTGTCAACACGAGCCAGTTTTTAGCATTAGTCATACTTAATAAATGATCACCATTTTCATCAGTAAAAACCCATTTCTGATGTTGAGTATGTTAATTATCAAAACACTCATCATTGATTGAGATATGCCTAACAGAAATCCTTATAGTAGCCACCTATGGAGAGTGAGCTTCCTGATTAAAACATCAGCTCAACACTCATGGACCATGAATTCTTCATTATCATGCTAACAGACCACCCCAGACTGGCTTTCTTGATTAGAATACTTATGAGACACAGATTATAACTTAACCTAAGTAACACAAACATAACATTCAAGAGTATTATAGTAAATTGCAAACTTTGCAATATTTTCTCAAAGGCTTGTTTTAATGATTAAAAAGAATGTGTGTGTGTGTATAAATATATATATATATATATATATATAGCATTTAATACAAGCCTTGCTCAATAGTAAGACTTCAGTAAGGAGTAGATATTATTTATTATTTTGTTTATAAGCAAAATCAAATTTATTGTATTTTATTAATGAGTATGACTTTTTAAATGTCTTTTTTAAATTTAAATTTTTATTTTTTTTTCCAATTTAAAATCTGACTTAATATACAAAACAGAAATGCTTCAGTAGAAAGGCAATTTAATGACCACCAAGACCTAGAATTTAAAAAGACAATCCAACAGTAAAACATACACCCACGATATAAAAGGAGAATCACAGCTAACACAAGCCTATCTTTATGTTGGAGATGACTGTTATTTTCTGGGCAGTCAGTTCTCTAAGAGAGCTTCATCAAGTGAACAATGAACATAGCTGGGGGCTTGTGGGGGGAGACATGAGCAGTAGCTTTATACCTACAGTGGTGGTTCAGTGGTGAATCAAGAGTTCTCATTTCCTGATCATAAATAAGGTCATGCTATGCTGAAAATGGTCTCTGTCGGGCTTCTTGAACTTGAAAAGGAATCTGAATCTTTCTGGGAAGCCTCATGTACCACAAATGTTGTGTGGCAAGGCACAAAGCCAAGTGCGATTATGTAGGCTTAACTGAAAGACCCAGCAAAGTTGGTATAAGGCTTGTGAACTGCCTAGACTAAATATAAATAACAACTCCTCTTCAAACAGACCTCTTTCTGAGTTTCAGTCCTGTACACGTCCCAAGACACTCTTCCTTGGTCACACAGCTCTTATAAAGGATAATAATCCAAACAGTTTCTATTACCATCTGCACAGCAGTATGAGCATTCTTTTGGGGCGGGGGGTGGGGGGGGCTGGCCGGTAGGGGGATCCAAACTCATGACCTATGGCTTTATAAGGCTGTGTTCTAACCAACTGAGCTAACCAGCCAGCCTAGTATGAGCATTTAATTTGATGAAAGACAAGCTGCAAACTAACCTGAAAATTCCTATTCTTCTGTGAGCTCAGTGGGAAAACTAAGCTAATTAGCAAGCTGATTAAAAAAGATTCCCTGCCTGGCCTCTCCTTGACATCCCTAAGCTACCACATAACATGAGCAGTGTACCCTTTGAAAAATCATACAATGGGGCCGGCCCATGGCTCACTTGGGAGAGTGTGGTGCTGATAACACCAAGGCCAGGGATTCAGATCCCTATATAGGGATGGCTGGTTAGCTCACTTGGTAGAGCATGGTGCTAACAACACCAAGTCAAGGGTTAAGATCCCCTTACAGGTCATCTTTAAAAAAAAAGAAAAATCATACTATGGACAGCACCTTCTAAGGGCTGCTAAGTGGATGCATGTTGTGGATGAAAAGGATGGAGTGCCAGCTCTCTAAATGCAAGTCACTGGGAAAGGAAGGCCACTCATGTCAATCCACATGCCAATGTTAACTCAAACGTCTAGAATGCAAAAAGATGAGACAAACGCAAAGGTTCTCCATTTCCAGAGCCAGCAACTACACTGAGATGGAGAGACAAGGTGTTCATACACTCTGGGCAAAAGAATCTAGAGAGAAAAAGAATAGATCCACATAGCAAAGTCCAGGGTCTAGGAAACTCCTCCTTCACCAGAGAGCACAGAGGGCAAGAGAGAGACCCCACAAAGTGAAGTGACTGGGGATCCTCCAGGGTGGTGGGCGCCAGGGCACCATCCTCTCCTTCCCCAGCCCAGGACCTGGGGTAGGGGGGTGCTGGGATAGAGCTAGCAGCTAGAGAGCCTGGGGCGAGTCACCTGCTCCCACTGAGGGCTCCTTCGGGCTGAACAGGTGGTATGTGGCCTGGGTGGCCCTCACATTGTCCACTTTCAGGTTGGAGTTGGCCTGGTACAAGTGGTACAGGAAGGATTTCAGGTCCCCGCACAGCATCTGCCAGGTGGTGAGGAAGTAGATGCTAGTGACATTGAGCTGGACCCACTTGGACACGCTGCTGGGGTCCTAGGCCAAGGCGTGACCCTGTGCTGCAACTGCCCCCACTCCCAGCTGCTGCCACCCTGCCCCAAGGCCACCCAGGACCAGCACCTCACAGTGATTCTCAGCTGTGATCCCAGCAAGCCCCGCCACAGTTCTCTTTTGTTTTTTTTTTTTGGAAAGCTGATTTGTCTAAGACAACATACCTTACTTGACTTAAAATTCTTTAAGTGTTGAAAAATAAGCCAAAAAAAAAAAAAGAAAATGCTCTCAAGGGACAAAAATTCTGTTTTCATATGAGATGTGTAAATTTGGTAGTTCCAAATTGATAATTAGGTGACTTTATTAGCATTGTACTCATGTTACAGTCACCAAACAATTATGATGTAAGTAGAGTACATTTTTACTTGTTTTTAGATTATAGTGATGCCTTTTAGAGCTCACAAGAAACTGCCAAAATATCACCAACATGGTCTAAAAACTAACGGAGTTTTTAAGTGGTCTGTGGTCAGTGGCTTTTGCTTAACAGGAACTAAATGCCACTGCTCTCTTAATCAGAAAGCCAGTCCAAAATATTTACTGCACATTGTTATTGTGAGGAGCAAAAAGGATGGGGAAGATGTGATGGGAGAAACATAAATAAAGTGCCTACTATAGGGAAGTGCTACTGTGCTGGTCAAGCCTATCATATCTCAATCTGACTCTTTGTTTTATAAGTAATTCTGATCTTCTTTCTTTCATCTTAAAATAATTTTGCTTCTTTACCCTCTTTAAGTGGTAAGGATAACAGTATATGCCCCTTCTCAATCCCAAGACTAATGATAGTATGTACAGAGAAACCAACTTCAGTTGATTAAGCAGCTCCTCTGGGAATGATGGATGAGAGTTTCACCAATATGTGTGTCCCAAACAATTTGGTGTGCCTACCTGGGAAACCAGTTCCCCTGAGAAGTATATCTACTGTTCCTCTCAATGTTTCTCTTCTCCGGGTGCACATGTATTGTCCTGGGATATTAAACTAACTGTCTCAGGGCTGGCCGGTTATCTTACTTGGTAGAATATGTTGCTGACAACACCAAGGTCAAGGGTTCAGATCTTTGTACTGCTCAGCCACCAAAATACTAACCATCTCTGCCTCCTCCCAACCCCGAGATAATTTGCCTTCTCCCTTCCCACTTTCACTTTAGATTCTTGGAAAATTCTCAAGCCAAATATCTAGGCTAAAAAATTTAACATGTCTTCCTGGAGCTCTGCACATAATATCTCCATCTGCTAAGGGCTTGTCTCATTCACTAATGGTTTATATAAAAACACATTTTAATTGCTTGACAATGATATAGCTAATCCAAAAAAGATACTTATTTGCGGCAGCAGTAGGGAAAATTATAAAACCATAAGAGTTCACTGGTTTGTTTGGCAAATATGTGCCAAACATATACTATTTGCCTCGAATTTTATTAGGCAGAGGTCCCTACCTTCTGAGGAAAAACAGATTTGCAATAATTATGGCACCATGTAGGCAAACCTGTGATCTGAATTCTCTCTCTCAGTCTTTCATAAGTTTCATCTTTTAAAGTATATATGGTAAGATAGCCACTAGACCCACTGAGGCTTTACTTTCCAAAGTGCCAGGGTCCTTAATGATGGGGAAAGGTAGATATCTTTCTCCTGCATAAAGGATAACTGACATCTATCTTGCAGTGAAAACTTAACTGAATAAAATTATGTTTAGTTAGCATCCAAGGTCCTAGAGAGTTTTATATGTTTGGTTCATTCAAAGTGTATCTCCTTATCTTATGCACATATTAACAACTGGAATTAGAATGATGCAGAAATATGGAGACTATACTTTCTGCCTCTAAAAATTTGTAATCCAAGGAGGATATTAAATAATTTTGTTGATTCATATGATGAGAATAACCTACAACAGCTGTTACCATTCTAATATGCTTTGGAACAGTGTTCCCCAGGATGGTAGTGTAGGTGTTATGGGGGTAGAGAAACTATGCATAAAAAATTGGGGAAGTATGGAGTTAAAGTGGACATGTGTCCTCCCCCCTCCCCGCAACTCTTGGACTTCTCAGAGCCCTTAATATACTAACATGCACTCTGAATTTCCAGCATTTCCACTCTGAATATGCAGCATTTCCTCAATTTACCTAGATTCCCCAACCCCCACCCATAATTAAGATCCTTCAAAAATAGTGAGAGTAAAAAAGACATTCAAATTAGGACTGAGATCTTCATGGAGATTTCCTGGAATTACTTGACTGTTGGACAATGTTTGAGTTTTCTGGTTTTTCTAAGTTGAGGGCATGCTTCTCAATATTTGCAGACCATTGTATTGAGAATGAGAACTTTCATATGCTGAATTTTTTTTAATTGGCAGTGGTTTTCTTAGCTCCTATAAACAGATGATTCTCCTATATACAAGTAGACCATTGTTTGTAATACTGTTCCCAAAAAAAAGAGTAGGGTAAAGTTCTGCCTGGTGTCCAAAGCTATCCCAGAGAACACTAATAAATAGGAAAGCACCTTGGGGCAAGCTATAATTTTACAACTGAGGGTGCTAACTAAAAACTGAGCTCAAGGGTTCCTGTTGTGCATGGAAAAATAAGGCTGTTTAGAACACCAGTCATCTGCCATGTATTTCCTTTACCTTTTAGTTTTTCCACCTTTCTCAAAGAGCCAGTAAGAATATCTGAAGGCCTTTTTGTTATCTGAAGTTCAGGATTTGCTACTGCCAGCCATACTGTGGAGCTTAGCTAAACCCAAACCAGGGTTGGCACCCATCTATGGGCCACCAGTGACAGTGAGCTCAAAAGCTATGGTTGTAAAAACATTCTTGCTGAAGTGGTATCTAGAGAAAAGAGCACCACCTTCATTTCACATGTTTGCATTTCTATAGATTCCAATTTGATTTATAAGTAATACAAGTAGATTTCTGAACCTTTTCCGAAAATATTAATTTCTTTACATAAAGATTCATGTTTTTTTTTAATATTGTAGCGAGTGTTACAATTCAAATCACCAACTTGTACATTAAAGTACACCTATCACAACACTGAATTCTTTTTAACAGACTTAGAAGATGCTACAAAAACACCTGACTGTTCCAGTGGACCAGTGAAAGAGGAAAGAGGTGATCTTATCAAATTTTACAATACAATATATGTAGGAAGAGTGAAGTCATTTGCATTAAAATACGACTTGTCAAATCAGGACCATGTGGTACGTTTTATGTTTTACTTCTTTATTCAAATCTACAGTCATAGTTGAATTACAATTACTATGAGTTTACTTGTTACATAAGTATTTCAGAATTTAAAGCCTCACTATATTTTATATAAGAGAAAATACACTAGCAATCAGAATGACTAGTAACTTAATCAGAGTGATTAAGGCTATGATACAACAGAGAGCAGAGGAAATCATGGGAATTTTATCTACACTGTGATTATGTTGCTAGAAATTATGTGCTCAAATGGGCAAGGACTAGATGGTAACATGGAAATTTTGAAACAATTGATTTGGGTAATTTTTTGTTGTTCTTTTTGGTTTTTCTTGTTATATTGTGAGATAAATGTTTTTTTCTAGGTAAAGAGAAAAGGAAATAAGTAGGCCTGAATTATTAATAGGGTAACAGTAAGACATTTTTATGTAGACCCTAGTTTTGGCAGTGTACATATCTGTGTGTGTCTCTACATTCCTGTCCTTGTCCCTTTCAAGGAATATGGTCTGCAACTATCCTCAGAGGTTATGACTGTTCATCCTACTCCATCAGTTCCACCCTCCCTCTGTACTATACTATGAATATCTCTACCACCAGCCAATCGAAACTAATTAGCTTCAAGTGAAGATGATGAATGAAATATTAGTTAAGGAGCCATCTCCATTTATTTTATTTTCATTGTACAGAATATTAAAGAAAAATGAAATCCCTGTTCACCTAACTCTAAGTCTTTTGCGTATCTATATGAATTATTTTCCATTTCATTGACAGATTTGTTCCATGTTGGAATCATTTTGTTGGCTCATAGAATTCCTTAACCTCTCTTTTATTCTCTCTGCTACTGCTTTGGTTGTGGGTATGTGTGTGGAGAGAGATTCTTATTGCAAGTGTTAGAACATTAATTATTTTTTGTCCCTACTTTTTTTTTAATGATTATTGATTGATTGATTGATTGATTTTTATTGAATCATAATTGATTATATATATTTTGGAGATTCAATGTTGACATATGTTGATCAAATCAATATTATTAGTATGTTTATTGTTACAAATTGTACTTATTCTTTATGCCCCTTGTCCAATCTCTCCCTATCCCCCTATCTCTCCCCCCTCCCACCACTGATAACCCTAGATTGCTTCTCTCCCTCTGAAAGAGTAATGGTTGCTCTGTTGATTTGTTGCCTAGATGATCTGTCCAATGCTGAAAGGTGTTCCCCAATATTATCACAGAGCAGTTGCTTCTTCTGTCACTCTGGAATGGGCTTTGTGGAGAGAGACATCCTGTTCTTTTCTTTGGTCTCTACTGGTGACTCTCCTTGTGTTGATGCACTCCAGTGGCTGGCGGACCATCTGCATGGTAGTTGTGATGTCTAGTGACTTTCACGGCAGCCGTGGTTACTGTGGTGGCTGTGGTGGGCCACCCACATGGAGGAGATGTTTTTGGCATGCTCCTTGGTGCTGGCAGTGTGCCTGGTTGTGGACCGGGTGTCCGGTCCCTGCTTTGTCCCTACTTTCTAATGCAAGGTTTCCCATTCTCTTGGTTTACCATTCCTGGTATCTTACCCAGAATTCTATTATTTATTTATTTACTTATATTATTATATTTTTACGTTCTAAGATGTTGTTGTGGAGCAGTGGGGGGGAGGAGGAGAGGGGAGGGAAGTAGGGTGTGAGGAGGAGTAAGGAGGTAGGGTGTGGTCAAGACCCTTGGCACCCCCTTCATTCTGGCAGGGGAGACCAGGGGGCTTCCAGCAGGGGCTCAGTCATTGTTGGGCTGGATGCAGATGTCGGGGGTGACTGAAGTTCCTGGCCCCCCACCATTGCCCAAAATTCTTAATACTAATTATAGGATTTCCTGAAAGATCCAGGAAAATAAATTTTAGTTCATCTGTTAATAATTGTTGAATAGCTTAGTTGGTTAGAGTGTGGTATTGATAACACCAATGTGCAGGGTTTTGATCCCTGTTACCAGCCAGCCGCTGAAAAAAATGTTTTTTTTAAATCATTGAAAAATGAGGGCTAATGAGCCATTTGTTTGCTTTTTTCAGCCATAAATAAGCTCTTACAATATAACTGACTCCTTATTAGGAGATGTCATAAGAGTAAAAATTTGGTAGTATTCAAAAAAAGAAAGAAAATGTTTTATGTTAAAAATCTGATTTTGGGGGCTGGCTGGTTAGTTCAGTTGGTTAGAATGTGGTGTTAATAACGCCAGGATCCAGGGTTTGATCCCTGTACTGGCCAGCCACCAAAAAAAAAAATCTGACTTTTGGGTTATTTCAGATGGATGCTCCACCCCTCTCTCCTTTTCCACATATTAAGCAACAACAAGGCTCACCACGCCGGATTTCCCAACAGCACTCTATTTATGTTTCCCCACATAAGAATGGGTCATGCCTTACGCCAAGGAGTGCTCTGCTGTACAAATTCAATGGCAGCCCTTCTAAGGTAAGGTGCATACAGACTTTACTCCAAATCAACTTATACATATATGTTAAAAGTTGTGTTTCAGATTACCGATCAGTTATCATTAATCTTGATTTTTCTGCAAAGCTACTACTAATAAAATACGAACTGTTAACTATGGCAAGTTTCCTGTGATCAAGAGCAGTATATTCAGTTGAGGTAGTTTAGTCCATTGATGTTGACATGGTATTTGGGGCTTCACAGTAAGAGTCAAGTGTATCTCCCTGTTTAAGGATGATCTTGAGGGGCCGAGCCCGCGGCGCACTCGGGAGAGTGCGGTGCTGGGAGCACAGCAGCGCTCGCGCCGTGGGTTCGGATCCTATATAGGATGGCCAGTGCACTCACTGGCTGAGCGCGGTGCAGCCGGTCTCAAAAAAGGACAAAAAAAAAAAGGATGATCTTGAGAAAGGACCAGAAAGGTATCATCTACAAGTGGTCAGACATGGGGACTGTTAAGTTTAAAGAAAAGTGAAAGATAATTTGGTGTTTGGCAACCTAGATAGTGAAAAGTCTAAAAATAGAGGTCTCCTCTATACACAGACAGCTCTGTGGTTATCTCTATCTTTATCCATGTATGATGGTGGAGATGTAATATGGACATGATTGCTGTTTTCAGGTATTTCAATAACTATCAAACAGATATGTTCAGTATATTTTCAGAAGCCAGAATCAAAATTGAAGTGGGGCAGATTGTAACTCAGTCCAAATACAATGGCAGCTCCTTAACTCATTAGTTTCCTATTCAGTTCCACAAAAACCTATTGAGAATCTACTATACTCAGCAAAGTTGACTAAGATATAATACCTCACAGATTTGAATTTCTTCTTTATATAAATTGATTTCCTGTAAGGACGGTTAGAACAACTGACTTTTACAGCAGTGAATCTGAAACTATGGGTCACAATCACTTGGGGAGCTTGTTGAATGCAGATAGCTGTCCCACACAGCTACTGAATGACAAATCCTTAGCAGGCAGATCTGGGACCCTATAATTATAACAAGCTCCTTAGATGGTTGTGATGCACAGCTTTCAGGAACCACTTTCAGCAACATCAGCATCACGTGGGAGCTTGTTAGAAACACAGATTCTCAGGCCCCGCACCAACTCTGCTGAATCTGCATTTTAACAAGATCTCCAGATGATTATTATGCACATTAAAGTTTGAAAAGCTTTACTCTGAGGAATAGGATCTCAAACTTCAGGAAGCATCAGAATCAGCTGGAGGGCTTATTAAAACATAGATTGCTGGGCCCTATCCCCAAAATACTGATTCAGTAGGTGTAGGTAGGGTGAGACTTGAGAATTTGCATTTCTAGTAAGTTCTGGATGCTTCTGCTGCTTCTGTTCTGGGGACTACACTTTGAAAACTGTTGTTCTAAGGTTAATCTAGTTTTTAAAACCACCTGAAAAAATTAGTTCTAGCCACCATTATTAGGTTGGCCTAGATTATTTTTTTAAACATATTTATCACCTAATACATTATTTTTTATTCGTGGTGGGTAGTGGCTAGCTGGTACAGGGATTGAACCCTGGACCTTAGTGTTATCAGCACCCTGCTCTAACCAACTGAGCAAACTGGCTGGTCCTACCCCAGTGTTTAAATTTGGGTAGGGGATAGAGAGCAGGAAAAAGCAGCCTAGTTTTTTGCTGCTTTTCCCCCATTTTCCCCCTTTATTTACATATGTCCTCTATTTTTGCAGAGTTTGAAAGATATCAACAACATGATAAGGCAAGGTGAGCAGAGAACCAAGAAGCGAGCAATACCGATATCCATCGATGGTGATGCAGAATCACCTGCCAAACGCCTCTGTCAAGAAAATGACGATGTATTACTTAAACGACTACAAGATGTTGTCAGTGAAAGAGCAAATCATTAACACTGTTCCTGTTTCTGTGATAAAAGCACTTTCAGGTTCTGCAGAAAGTTGGTGATCTATCCTTCAATGCTTTCAGCCCTGCAGATGATAAATATCACTAGCTTATAAGAAAAATTGCACCAAAATTATGTGCTTTTTTTTTTTACATTTATCCAAAATGTAGTTGACAGAGATGTATTTTCAGTTAGATTGGAAAGGAGTGTTTTAAGTGCCTTTTAAAATATTAATAGTCATAGAATTTTTTAAATGTTTGTACCTTGGGTTAGTTTTTAAGATGAAATAAATAAGGAGAAACCGCATAATTTTTTAGCTCCTTTAAAAATAATCAAATGTCTCCTCCTTCTGTGCTTTGTTATACAAGGGTAAATAATATGTTTTTGGTGTGTGTGCTTTGAGATACTTGTATTCTCAATTTAATGTTGAAAGTAGGGGTTGATTCCCATAGTACCCAGGCCAGAGGGTAATATACCAGGCTGTCTCTGGCCCCCTGTGGTAACTTGACATCCAGGTGCCACTACCATTCTGGGTTGTGTGGATCCCTTCTCATGCCCTTCCTCTGCTTGAGCGTAAGTAAATTTGTACCTGAGCCCTGCACTACCTCCACTCCTTGCTTTCCAACCCTGAGCCCTCTTAGCCTGGTGATACAACCCAATAAGAGGCACTTGCTCCTTTTTAAAACACCTATCATTTTGTTTTTTATAACTTTAACTTAATTATATATGATCGTATTAAGACATGTAACTCAAAATAGGAAGCTGCTTTTCAAGCCAGTATAAAATTCAGGTAAAGTTATTAGAAACTAAGTTTCCTATTAGTTAGCACCTGATAATGTGTGAGATCTGTCCTTCTCAATGTCTAATTGATTTCCTAAGAATATTTGAAACCTTTTTCAAAGCCACATTAAAATTATTTGATGCCTTATAATTCTAATGTATATTAGTAAAATAGCTGCTTATTACTTCCCCCACTTTGTTCTCATTATTATTAGTGCATCATGAATTTCCCATTAGGATTTGACTGCTTGGTCTCCCTGAAGATGTTTCCCAGTCCTAGGGATGGAGCTTTCCAAAGAATCCTCTGTTCCACATTCACTTTTTCTAGTGTGTTTCCAGAATCTGGAAGGACTTGAATAAGCCATTCTTCATTAATTTTGAGAAGATGTTATCAAATGTATGTTTTTAACTGCAAAACTTATTTTTTTAAATGCATAATGTTTAACTTACCTATCTCCAACCCTGACTAATTTGAATTAGTCTAAGACTTGGCTTTCAGTAATTAGTATTGTCAGGAGTTTCATTTTTAAATTTTAAGAAAAGGGATTTTGGTCACATTTTACTTTTCTGAAAATTACACCTCATTTTTTGTGTAGTATCTACACATATTGTTATAAGTAAAATAATGTAGAGTCTGTCTTGAATCTTTGTACATATTTTTATGTAGCTATGACTATTGTATCATTTTCATCTTCATTATTAATGTGCAAAGTATAAATGAGAATTTGTACACTGACTATATAAAAAATATGGATATGTTTTTATCGGTATTTAGGACTTGGTATCAGTGTGCATTAAATGGTTAATAAAAATTGGAATTTTTGAGATTACTGAAAAAATTATACTTGTGCTATTTTCTGTGTGACTAGAAACAATTGTGCAGCCATCTAAAATCTGTCTTTTTAAATGTCTACTTTATGTCTTTTAAATTATTTAGTATAATTTAAAAGTTAATGTTCCTGGTGATTTCCAGGATCTGGGGTGAGAATGGGGCGTGACTGCTTAATGGACACAGAGTTTTCTTTTGGGCTAATGAAAATATTTGGGGACTTGATATAGGTGGTAGTTGCATAACATTGTGAATTTACTAAATACTACTGAATTGTACACTTTAAAATGGTTAATTTTATGTTATGTGAATTTCACCTCAATTTTAAAAAAATCTTAGCTACATATAAAGAAACAGGATTATTTCACTGAATTAAGGAAAAGGCTCATTTGTCTCTTAGGAGTGAGTTCAGGAATATTTCTCCACATGAGACCCACAGCTTAAAAATTATTTTCTTTTTTTTTTTTTTTTTTTTTCCTTTTTGTCTTCTTTACTGACCGGTAATGGGATCGCAACCCTCGGTGTCACGCCCGTACCGGGGACCGGTAACGGGATCGCAACCCTCGGTGTCGCGCCCGTACCAGGGACCGGCAACGGGATCGCAACCCTCGGTGTTGCGCCCGCACCGCGCTCAGCCAGTGAGCGGGAACCGGTCTCCATATGGGATCCGAACCCTCGGCGGGAGCGCCGCCGCACTCCCAAGCGGCGCACTCTCCCGTGCGCCACCGGGCCGGCCCTAAAAATTATTTTCTAACTAAGACTTTAATGTGATTAGATTATATTAAATCAGATTTTTCAAAAAGGTAATGTTCCTCCTTGTTTTAATTTTGTTCCTTTATAATGCTTTCACTAAGTTAACAAGCATTTATTGCCTGCCTAATCTATGCCTGGCCATCTGCTAGGTGCTAGGGATATAAAGATGAATCGGACATAGTTCCTGTCCTCAAGATATAATATTTGTCGCTCATTAATATAAGTATAGTAATACAGCTCTGCACAAAGAGGGATGGTGTTAGCACAGAGAAGGGAGTGAGTGAGTCACTCTGCCTGGGCAAGTGTGTCTGAGAAACTTCTGAAGGGGAGGTTATATGGTAATTTAGTCCTTACTGATGAAACTTTGTTTGCCAGGGCAGCCAAAGTGTTCCAGACAGAGAGAGCACAAACTGTAGAAGGGCCCAGAGTCATGAAAGTACTATAGATTTGGGAACTGCAGGTAATTTAATGAGGTTGGAGTGTATTGTGCATATGCAAAATTGTGGGTGGAAGTAGGGCTAGAAAGGCGGGCAGGGCCTTTCATACATGGGCTTTCTAAACCATGCAAAGGAGCTCAGGCTTGATTATTTCCAGTAGTTCTTAACATTGGCTGCAACTAGGGAGCTCAAAGAGTACATTGATGCATGGGTCTCTCCCCCAGAGATTTCTGATTTAGTTCGTTTAGGGAACAACCTAAGTAAGCATCAGGATTTTTAAATACTCCCTAAGGGAGCACCTAGGTTTGACAACCACTGCTATAGGCCATTGGCGAGCTACTGAAGAAGTTTTGAGCTTCTTGGATCTGTGAGTTTATGGTTTTCATTAAACTGGAAAAATGCCTGGCTATTATGTCTTCAAATATTTTTTTGGTCTTCCTCTCCCCTTCTGTGACCTGCATTACACACATTAGACCAGATGATATTGTCCCACAGCTTGCTGATGTTCTTTACATTTTTTCAGACTTTTTTCCTTTGTATTTTACTTTGGATAGTTTCCACTGCTATGTCTTCAAGTTCATTCATCTTTTCCCCTATAGTAATCTTCTGTTAATCCCATACAATGTGTTTTTCATTTGATCTTGTATTTTTCATCTCTAGAAATTCAATTTTTTTTTTCCTTTTTGTCTTTTTTCGTGTCCGGCAATGGATCGCAACCCTCAGTGTCACGCCCGTACCGGACCGGGACCGGCAACGGGATCGCAAACCTCGGTGCTGCGCCCGCACCTCGCTCAGCCAGTGAGCGGAACCGGTCTGTATGTGGGATCCGAACCCTTGGCGGGAGCGCCGCCGCACTCCCGAGTGGCACACTGTAGCAGTGCGCCACCGGGCCAGCCCAGAAGTTTTAATTTTAAGTAGATAATGACAAAATCAGATGTTTTAGAGCTGCAATACCCTAAGCTCTAAAACATCTGATTTTGTCATTATCTACTTCTTCAGTAGCTCGCCAATGGCGACAAAGGATAAGGATTATCTGAGAGACATGTTAACAATACACATTCTTAGACGCTACCAATGACCAATGGAATCATAATCTCCAGGGGTAGGACCCAAAAACTTTGTTTTAACTTCTGTTCTAAATGATAATTCTCAAGCAAGTTAGAGACCTTCTGGCAGTGCTGTTGAAAGGTAAATTAGCATAGTAATCACCTGGGATTGTTAATCTTACTAAAAATGCAGAGACTAATTCAATAAATTTGGGGTTGGGCCTAAGATTCTGTTTCTCTAATAAGCTCCCAGGTGATGGCCAATGCTGCTGGTCCAAGGACTACAATCGAGTAGCAAGGCTTGGAACTCTGGAAGCTGTGTAGAGGATGGATTAGAGGATGTTTAGACTAAAATCAGAGACAAATCAGTATAGTGGTTCTTAACCTGGGGCAGTTTTGCCCCCGTTAGGGACATTTGGCAATGATGCTTATGGCTGCCCCAACTGGAGAGGGGGGTGTGGTGCTACTGGTATCTAGGGATTCTGCTAAACACCTTACAATGCACAGGATAGCCACCAACAAATTATCCAGCCCGTAGTGGCAATCCCTGAATTAAGTGATTGTAAACACCTCTGCAAGAACAACTGTACACTTTAATTAAGATAGTGGTAGCAGGGATAGAAGAGGAACCACAGAGGGTCACCTAACTCTGGGCATGTATGGGGTCCCAGTCAAGAATGGCTTCATAAGGAAGATGACTTTCCAGAAAGGATCAATAGTAGTAGTTTCCAGGTGGAAACTACACATGTGAGGTTATTTGGCATCAGTAACAGTCTTTTAATATATTAAGAGGAAAAATTGCCCCTGAGGTTTCAGATCCTACATCTAGGCAATGGTTCCATCAAATTTCCTGGTGATAGGAATCACCTTTAAGGGCTTACAAACTATGCAAATTAGTAGGCCTGTCCCCTGGAAATGCTGATTCAATAATGTGGCCCAGGAACAGTTTTGTTCACAAGCATCCCAGGCTATTCTTATTGGGGAAGTTCGGGAAGTACCTGTCTAGAGTTCAGCAGAAGTGTATAATGGCCAAGAGTCCAGAGATCCAGATTCAAACACGCTCCCTGCCACTGCACCACCAAACCAGTCAGACTTCACTGTTTACTGAGCTCAGTCAGTCATCACACTTCAGGAAGTAATTGGTTAATTATAGAAAATTAATTTATTGGGCCAGTCCGGTGGCGCACTGCTACAGTGCGCCGCTTGGGAGCGGGGCAGCGCTCCCGCCGAGGGTTCGGATCCCACATACAGACCGGTTCCCGCTCACTGGCTGAGCGAGGGGCGGGCGCAGCACCAAGGGTTGCAATCCCGTTGCCGGTCCCGGTCCGGTACGGGCGCGACACTGAGGGTTGCGGTCCGTTGCCGGACACAAAAAAAGACAAAAAGAAAAAAAATAAAAATAAAAGAAAATTAATTTATTGTAGAAAAATTAGAGTATATATACAAAAGCAAAAAAGAAAAATTACCTGTATTGCCACTTTTTTTAATTTTTAAATTTTTTATAACAATTATTTTTTACATGAAGAAACTTCCACAAATCTTAAATTGTATGAGTTTTTCCAACTTTATTGAGGCATAATTTATATACAATAAAATTCACTCATCTTAAGTGTACAGTTTAATGAATTTTAGTAATTGTGTGTAGGTATATGACTACCACCACAATCAATATATAGAACATTTCCATCGCTGTAAAAAGTTTTCTCATGCCCTTTGATCTCCTGCCCTCCCCTTCCCACATCCTCCCCACCATACACCCAGGCAACTTTTGGTCTGTGAAGGGGGAAAGTATAACTTTAACCTGCACAATATGCTTGTATAACTTTAACCTGCACAATTTGCTTCTGCAAACACTTGCTAAAAACAGGAAAGCATATCTAAAGGCATTTTAAGTAAAGCAGCTTCTAAGAGGTCAGGCAGACCCAGGCACACTAACATTCCAGGAACCAGCTGGTCTCAGGAACTAACCAGCTCCTTATCTAGAGGCTACCTGGCAGACCCCAGGGAAGATAAACGATTGAGAAATGCACCGTTCCTTATCGGGGTGCCAGCCTGTTAAGCCTAACCATTAATCTTAAGGCACCTCAGATAATTAACAACTCATCCTATTATGAAAGCCTGCCTAAAAAACTGTATAAAAAACCCCTGTGTTAAAGATTCGGGGCTGCTTCTGTCCTGAAGGTGAAGCGACCCCAGCATGCTGGAATAAAATTCCTCTTGCTTGATTGCAACAGTCTCTGTCTCGTGGTCTTTGTGAAGTGAGCCACCCTGGCGTGTGGGATTTGTGCTTGGTGCACAGGTCTTACAGTCTGCTTTATGTCACTATAGTTTTGCCTTTTCAGGCCAGCCCGGTGGCGCACTGCTACAGTGCGCCGCTTGGGAGTGCGGCGGCGCTCCCGCCGAGGGTTCGGATCCCACATACAGACCGGCCGCTCACTGGCTGAGCAAGGTGCGGGCGCAACACCGAGGGTTGCGATCCCATTGCCGGTCCCGGTCCGGTATGGGCGCGACACTGAGGGTTGCGATCTGTTGCCGGACACAAAAAAAAGACCAAAAAATAAATAAATAAAAAATAAATATAGTTTTGCCTTTTCTAGAATTTCATATAAATGTATGTATGTGCACAGTATGTAGTCTTTTGTGTTTGAGTTCTTTCACTTAGTGTAATGTTTTCGAGATTCATCTGTGTTGTATGTGTAAATATGTTTCTTTTTATTGAGCAATTTTCCTTAATATGAGTATACCACAATTTATTTGCCAGTTGATGGACATTC